GCAAGAAACTAGCCTCTCTGAAGAATCTGTAGCACACAGGTAAACGGCTACTCATGCTGAGAACTCTATTGGCTTCCACCAACAGTTTCTCTATGTGCTATCAAGTACAAAATGTCTTTGACAAACAGGATTCTACTGGTTTGGAAATTGTAAAGAAAAATAAAAAATAGAAAATGTTGAGTCAGAATGAGATATTTTCCTACAATTTGCAGAGCAATCGGAAGCAAGATTCTAATTTTTTTTTTATTTTGGTCTATAAAATTGTCGAAAAAGAGGCCTGAAAAGGGTAGTATTTTCAGCAAAAAGCCATGGGACCGGGTGTTCTATGTGTTGTTCAACCTCTGGCCCACAGTTGCTCTGCAACTTGTTCAACCTTTGGCTTGCAGACTAGATCTGGCCTGTGAACCCTTGTCATCCAGCCTGTGGGTCTCCCCACAGGTCCCAAAATTTGGCAGCAGGAGAGCAGTTAATTGCAGCTCCTTTGCTGCCAAATTTCCAGACCCATGGGGAGCCCTGTGGGCTGGCTGACATGACACTGCAGGCTAGACTGCGTTAAGTGAGCAAGCAGCTGGATCCAGCTTGTGAGATTGGACCACTCATAGTGTCAGGCTGGTGCACGCAGCTGTGGGAACACACTGTATTGCACCCATGGACCAAACCCATGTGCCAGATAAAGCCCATGGACTGGCATTGCAGCACATACAGGCCAGAAGGTTTCTCACTACTACCATAGAGCTATTGCATGGTTGTTTGCTTAAATAGTACCGTAAGACAACATCCATAGATAGATGGTTCAATTATAAACTTTCAAAGAAGTGCCGCCTAAAAGAGTTCACCTGTAATTTTGTCAGGACTCTTTTAATGGCTTTTTTTGGTATTCTGTCTGGCTTTTGATCCCAGATGCCACCTTCTGGTTGTTTTTGTTTTGACCAATGAGAACTGCATATTATAAGGCAGGATAATTTGATTTGAAAGTAAAAAAAAATCTTTATAAAGCTTTAATAATGTTAAGAATTGAGATTAGTTATACAGTAGTTTAGTATTGATTTGGAGATAACAGCGGTTGATCATGAGGAAAAAAAACATCTGTTGGATACTGAAAAAAAGAATATTTTTCTCTTGCATGTGGACTGTGCAACATGCTTTACTTTACCTCAGCCTTTTCTGCTCTCATTTCAAACATCATCAGGAAACTTTTCTACCTTGTACATATGTCTTATCTTTCCCTTCCTGCTGGGCCCTCTGTCCTTATTTGCTTTTTAACTCTGTAAGATGCTCTGAGATAATAAAACTGATCAGCTGGTGAACATGTTGGGCATAACTTTATTGGCTTTATCCCAGTTGCTAATCTTCCCCACCCTCTGTATCAAAGATTCTGAGTAAAATCAGACTTTGTCTTTGCAAAAAAACAGTGATGACTAATGCCTTTTCTATGTATATATAATTACTAATCTATATACGTATTCGGCCCTCACCCTGACAAAAAATGACATTTAAAGACTTTCTTATCTTTAAGACATGAGTCATTCCTTTGACTGTACTGGGATTACATATTTATTTTGGGAAAATTTTTAGGAAATGTGCTGAATCAGGGCCCTAATCATTAAGACTCTATTAGATGGAAAGTTCTTCAGAGCAGGAACTATGCTATCCTATATTTGTAAAATAACTTATTAAAAATAAAACAGAATTCAGTGGGCAAAGTTGTGTTTCCCATTGTGAGTCTAGCAGCAGTTTTTTAGCCATTTATAAGCAGGTAGCCTAGCCTGCTAGTTTCTACAGGCAGGTTTTGCTCTCTGAAGAGCGCATCAGCCAGTCCTTCCAAATAAACACTGTCCTTTAAACAAACAAAACAAGCAAAACAGACTACTGCTGTCCTGGACACTGGGAAGGGACACTCTTTGGCTTTGGCCATAGCATAGCAGCCTGGTGTGTCCCAACCCCTTCCCCTGGGTGCAGCAAGCAGTTCAGCCCACAGCTTGCTTCTCCTTGTGTTCTCTCCCCTGGGGTTATAAGCTCCCAGTGAGTCACTCCTCATTATCCAAATGCCCCGCAACTGGGCTCTCAAGGCTGACCTCTTAAAGGGACAGATCTCCCTTTTACACCAAGTGGTGTTTTTGCTACTTATGCACAGGTTGTGTTTGCATTACCTCTGCGGTATGTATAGTTAAGCATGCATGCTAAGACTGAGCATAGGCAGCTACCTATGCATGCCCAGCTTGCATGTGTACTTGCATTGAAGTCATATTTTAAACCCAGTAGCTAAATGATTAGGGTACTTGGACAGGAAACTTAAGACCTGGGTTCTAGGCCCTTCTTGGCAAAATGGGGTTTGGATTTGTCTTTTACTGATTTTGCAGCATAGTGCAGGTGTAAAACCTCTCTTGGCAAGGATAGCCTAGAATCCAGCCCTATCTCCACTTTTTTTTACAGGACTTAGGCTCAGGTATGTATCTACATAGTCATGTAGATATATGACCAGTGGATAGCCTAAACTACATATTCATTCTACTCACAGAGATAGACAACAGACTGGGATGATGCTCTCTTGTGGGAATATAAGAAAAGGTCCCCACAGAAAACGGCAGAAGTATTTCTAGAATAGAGAGGAGTCTGCTCCACTCAGTTCTTGCAGGAGATGGCTGAGCCTAAGATGCAGACACTGTTACTAGGTTTGGAGAAAAGGCAAGAGTGGAGATAAACTAGACTAAGACCAAGTAGGCTGGAAGGAAGGGTGGTACTAGTGAAAGCTTACTGGAAGGACTAATAAAAGTTTCCAAGTAAAAATATTATAAGAGGTGAGCTGGCTGTTAAGAAGAAAGAGGAGGCCACACATAAAGAGACCCAGAGAAATTGTGGCTGTGAGTGGTTCTGTCTCCCTGCAAACAAGGCCCACCCAGTGACTCACACCTTGAGTTAACACTAAGGTGAATCAGGTTGGGAAGCTGAAAAACAGAGACCTGGTTTGTGTGGGGACCATAAGGACTGCACCTCACCTGAAAAAGAGGGCAGCAGTGCACAATTACAAGGGGTAATAGAATGGCTAACTGTGTGCAGTGGCAAAAGTACCACTTCTGTGGCTAGGGTACCTCTGTTTAGCTGCACAAAGGGAAGTATAATGCTTCCTGATATGTTTAAAAAAATCTAAAATGTGTTTAAAACTTATTGTAGGTTGGACAAGAAAGTTGCTATAGTTGGCTGACATAGCAGTTCTCAGCTAGCTGATGCCTCTAGTTAAGGGCAAGGTACAGACATTGAAAAAGCCCAAGGCAGAATTGATCTAAGTTACATGGTTTTATATAAGTGGCATAGGGTAGATCGGTAGTAAATAGAACACACATTCACCCTTTGGTGAGGGGTGCAAATCTTAAACAGGGTTCCACCATTTTTAAGCCAGTCTGTGTGCGCCAAACTTCTGCTCTGTTATGGGCATAAACTGGTTTTGTGTGCTGAACTTCTGTTCTATTGTAGGTATAGACTGGTTTCTATAGTGTGTTTTTTTTCCTCATGATCACTTACACTGGTAAAAGTGTAATGTCTGTACCTGGCCAAGGTTTCCTGACACATTCCATTTAAAGCCTTAATTTTGATTACTTAAAACATTGCCAAAATTTAATGATTTAGGTTGATATTTTCTATTGTGGGGGTCTGCGTCTGGCAGAATTTTTTTGGGAAAGCTCCTGCTAAAATAGGTGATTTAAAAAAGAAAAAGAGATTAGTTTCTTTGCCCATCTTATAAAATGTTGCAGCCATTTCAAGGGGAAGCTCTAGTGTCTCTTAAGCTTTGGAGCGGGGTGTTTGAAATCTGATGGGGGTGCTGTTTGAGGGGAAATCACACCATCTAATAGTGTCAAAGGTGACCACGGCTAGGAATTATTTCCTAGAATCACTCAATGAGTGTCCAGGGTAAAAAGAAATATTGAATAAAACCCCTCCCCCCTTTTTTTTCTGGGTACACAATGGGCGCATCTACACCAGACTCTTTACTCAAGATTAGAGCAAATTACTGCACAGTTAGCATCACCATCTACATGTGCATATGCTTACTGCGCAGTAATTTGCTCTAATCTCAAGTAAATTTGCTTCCTGTAAATACAAGTGGCAAATTTACTTGGGAGTAATTACTGTACAATACAGCACATGTAGACAGCCAACTGGGAGCACATTGGTTAGCTGGGCAGCAGGGGACTGCTTCCTGACTGTGGGAGCTACCTGCTGCCAGTGTGGGCTCCCTTTGTTCCCCTGCTTCAGCCAGCAGGGAGTTCCCAGCCCCTGGTCCATGATAATGGAGTAGGGGCTAGGAGCTCCTTGCTGCTGGGGCAGATGGACATTGTCCCTGCCCGGGCTCCACTGGTGGAGCCTGACCCAGAATCAGGCAGCTCCTGAAGGCAGGGAGCAGTCTTCCAGCCCCCGCCAGGAGACAGCAAATCTGCTCTTGCTTCCTTGAATGTATAGATACCTAACTAGGGTGGGTTTGCTCTAGAGTAAATCCATTCCAGAGGATGTGTAGATGCGCCCTCAGTGAGGCAGAGATCAGGTGGAAAAATGTGTATATGATCATGCAATTAAAGTTGTACCAAGCCAATGCCTGAGAGAGTCAAATTAAAATTGCACAGTAACCTTAATTCTAGTATTTCAAATTTTTGGCTGCTTGACTTTAAAACCCTATTTTCTTTTAATGTAAAAAAATGTAATGCAAATAGAGTGAAATTTTCAGCCGTAGGTGATCCCACAAAAATGTGCTGCTAACCACTGTGGCTGCAACATTCTGTATTTCCATATGCCAACAGTCATTTGTGTGACTGCTTGTAAAAAACAAATGTAGGAATATGTTCATTTCCGACAGTGCATCTGTTGCTTTTGAGCCACTCAGTACAAAGCCCCTAGTTCAGACTTTTCAGGCTTTTAAGTGCTTTCAAGTGTTTAAATGTTTTTAAATTTAAGCTGTAATAATACCAAATAAATACAAAGTAAATTGGTACTGCTGTAAAGGTACCTTTTTTCTCTGGTTGTCCAGATATCATTACTCACTATCCTCATGTGTTCTCTGCACCTTGTCTTATGGCATTGTCTTTGAAAGTTTGATCTTGAAAAGACAGGAGCACCAGCTCTGAGATACTGCCTTCTGTGTAATAACTTCAATTAGAATGAGAACATTTGGTATCTCATAAGCGAGGTCACCTGCTTTGCAGTATCAGGCAGTGTGTATATAATATTGATACTTCTCCGGCCTAACAGACTATCACAGTATAGACTGTATGTTATTTTTCATGTATTTTTAGCACAAAGAATATGATTTTTTTTCAGAAGGGACATAAAGATGTGTTTAATAGTCTTATACAGGCAGATCAGATTTTTACCTCTTTTCTACAAAGTACAAACTGTTGCATAGACCGTGTATTCCATTAATGAAGAAAAAATGAAGTTTGTGAAATAAAAGAGCATTTGGACATAAAAATAGGCCCTTTTGGACAAGCAGTGGAATGAGCACAGGATCAGCAGTACAATTTCCTGAGACTTATTCAATAAAATAAAATGTTCAAAAGGAGATTGGACAGGTATCTGGCTGGGGTTACCTAACCCCAGCACTCTTTCCTGCCAGGAGCAGGGGGTCGGACCCGGTGGCCTACCAGGTCCCTTCCGACTCTAGAAATCTATGAAATCTATCTATGAAACCTATGAAAATACTTAGTTGACCTTTGGCTACAGCAGAAAGCCAAAGGTAAAGTTAATGCAGGTAACAAAATTCAAATTCAAATCTTTTCCACTTTTGCTTTTTGCCCTCTTCTTCAGAAAATGCATAGAATAGTCAGCTTAAGGTTTGACCATTGCTGAACATTATCAGAAATTGGTTCTGTATTTCTTTAGAAGTATAAAAAATATTTTTAGTTTGTACAGTACCTGTGCAAGGTTCATAAGTGTGTCTCTGAAATGGCCTGAAGTCTCCGAATAAATATCTTGCTGAAGATCACTATTGTATTCTATGGTGAAAACAAGTTTGAATTAAATTTCCAATTAGTACAACACTTAAATATGCTCTAGAAAATGTTGACTAAGATTCAGAAATAGAGATGAATAAATAGGAAAAAATTACATGCAATGTGTTGACCTTTGTCAATTTTTCAATATCATTAGTACAGTAACTTACAGATCACATGGGGCAGGTCTTCAAAGGTATTTATGTGCTTAAAAATGTAAATAGGTGCCCTATGGGATTTTCAAAAATGCTAAAGCAGTTTCACTAATTCACTATTAGTGAATTATTGACTCCAAGATGAACATGGGCCGACAATGCGAGGTCATGGTTGGCAGGGCTAACCGGACCTTGTCGTGCATCCACAGGTGCATCTCGAGTAGAGCCAAGGAGGTGATCCTCCCCCTCTACGCGACGCTGGTCAGGCCACAGCTGGAGTATTGTGTCCAGTTCTGTGCGCCCCATTTCAAGAGGGATGTGGACAACATGGAGAGGGTCCAGAGGAGGGCCACCCGCATGATCCGGGGACAACAGGGCAGACCCTACAGTGAGAGACTGCGGGACCTGAACCTATTCAGCCTCCACAAGAGAAGGCTGAGGGGGGACCTGGTGACCGTCTATAAACTCACTAGGGGGGACCAGAAGGGTTTGGGGGAGACGCTGTTTCCCCTAGCGCCCGCTGGCATAACAAGGAGTAATGGGCACAAGTTGATGGAGAGGAGGTATAGATTGGACATCCGCAAAAACTACTTCACAGTTAGGGCGGCTAGGAGCTGGAACCAACTTCCAAGGGAAGTGGTGCTGGCCCCTACCCTGGGGGTCTTTAAGAAGAGGCTGGATGCCTACCTGGCTGGACTCATTTGAGTCCCATTTCTTGTTTTGGGGTTTTGTTGTTCTCCCGCCCTGGCGGGGGGTCGGGCTAGAAGATCTACTAGGTCCCTTCCGACCCTAAATCTATGAACTATGAACTATGAACTAACCTGCTTAGGCACTTTTGCAAATTTAACATGTCTCCTGTCTGAGTCCTCAGGCATTTAAATACCCTTGAAGACCTGGCCTGAAGTCCTGAAGCCCTGGCAAGAGCCTTCAGTGGGTGTTTTACCTGAGTAGTACCTCTATAGGAGCATGCCTAAAGTGCTAATTAGTGTAAAACCTGTGAGATAGTTACTAAGCAGACCCAAAAAGTCTACTTTTCTTATAGACATATATAAAAAAATAGCAGCTGCTGGCTGTGAAGAATTTCAAATGTGTCAGGCAATGCTCAATATCTAAAAATAATGATGAATATTTTAAAATTGATTTCTACTTCTAGCTTCAGAGTCTTTGGCACAAATTTCATGAAGCAACAAGAAAAGAGGGAAAATATTTATCTTTCAGAACTCATCTTTTGAAGTCACAGTCACGCTGTTGTGTCCAGAGCACAATTAGTCCAAATTCTCCCTTGCTATTATATACTTTCAAAAAAAGAAAAAAAAATTACGCATTGAGTAGGCCTCTTTCATCTGGAAGATCTCCATATTTGATCTTGAGGCTAATATATCGATTAGACAGTTTTCTTCCGTGCCTGCCCCCTGCCAGGAAGAGAAACAAACAAGGAGAGACATTACTGGTAGAAATAATGCTTCCCAATTCAATGTAGTACATCTATCAAGAGTAGTGAAAAATGCTAGTTTTTATTAAAAGAGCCTGTTTTTCTGAGTGATTTTTCTGTGAATGGAGGTACTGATTTCCTTCCTTTCAAGGGATTTGTGGATATTATGAAGTGTCTGCTGTTATAGCTATGCTGGCATACCTATGTCAACAGAGTCTCCTAGTAGAGATGTAGCATATGATGGTGGAAAGAGGTTTTTTTTCCGTGAATTCTAGTTATGTTAGCTTCATGAACAACAGAAGCTGAGTGGGTAGAAGCCTCCATCTGCCAGCAGAGCTTTTCTTACAACTGGGGTTTTGTTGGTATAAACTATGTCAGCAAGCAGAGGGTGCTCTTTTCATTCCCCAGCCTACAGAGCTATGCTAGCAAAACTTTGTAGTGTAGGTATGACAGGGGTTACTGATCACCTACAGTTATATTAGTATTAGAACTCAATTTTGCAAGCACTTATGCATTCATAATTTTCATTTTAATTTCAATATCCCTATTATTAAGGCAGTATGGTGAGTCAGGCAGTGCCCAACCACTAAGGAAAATGCACTGGGATGAATTTCACCTTTAGTGACAAATGAAGCCCTGGCAGGCATTTAAGGAACTGGTAAGGAAACAAATGCAAACATCAAGCATGTTGTCTGTACTGATGCTAAGGGTTTAAACCAATGGTGCTTAATTTTTTTAGACTCAAGACATCCATTTTTAGTCTGAAGGCACCCCTCAGAAAATGCCAGCTCTTTGCTTTCACTCATTTTTTACTACAGAAAAATAACAGAGCAGTTTATCTGTTGCAAAGAACTCCATGACCTGAACAAGTCAGAAATGTTTTTAACACTATGGAATCCTATTTGAAATCTCTTGAGTTTATCTTGCGATTCGGGCATAGATTTTTACATACCTAACAGTGCTAATATTGCATAGCACCCCACGGCATCCTTAAAAGGATCTCACGGTATCCTGGTGGAGAATCACTGGTTTAAACAATGTGAAATGGAGTTTAACACCACTTTCAGCCTCTCTTTTGGACTTATTTGGTAGATTTTTGTGATTTGCAATGTTTGTGGAAGTATTTGATGTTCACAAAGTACTTCATCATTCCAATGCAGTCTTGCATTTTCCCTTAGGGCTTTGACTTCATTTCACATGTTTGAGTTCAAATAATTCAGGCTGCTTATACTATTTTGATATATATATATATATATATACACACACACACACAGATCTCTTTATTGTCAGTGATTATTTTGCATTTCAAACAAGGTGCCAGTGGTGTGAAAGCCTCTGCATGTGCTATATTATTTTAAGCATGTGAATTCCCCTATCAACTCCAAGATCAAGATGCAGAAGTACAAGAAAGCACAAATTTGATCCAAATGCAGACAACTTCTGGATTTGCCGGTTCTGTCACTAGTGATAATAAAAACAGCACTTCTGATGCTGCTCATGGTTTGCAAGTGAGGAGATTATTATAGCCCATCATTTAAAAAATACTTCAATAGCTCTAAATGTTCTTTGGTATCAGCTGTTTAAGAAGTTAAAAAAATGTGGTCACTTATTTTACTGTCTGGCAAGGCTTTCTCAGTAAAGTAAAAGGGGTTCTTTTCTTGAAAATAGGAATTCAGTTAAATTTGAGGGGCTAGTCATTATATTATAAAAGAGTAATGGCAGTGCTCATACACTTGTTTAGTCTCATGAATAGCCTTCTAAAGCCCTACTCATGTGTGGCTTGTGAGATCAAGATCTTAAATTTCACTGTATAAATATTTTACTTTCTTCGGTTACTTGATTGTACTTCATGTGTTAAATTTCTGCTATATTTTGTAAAGCTAAACCATTATTTAGATTACCTTTAACAAAGACATAAATTATAAAACACTTTATGTTTATATCCCAGTATATTAAAAAATGCCTTTCCAACAGCTTATCATTCACTTATGTGTAAACATCAGTTGAACAGATGTGAGTTGGTGGTGTTAGTCGTAGAGTCTAAGTAAGTTTGAATTAGACAAGCACCTTCATGGCGTGCCAGAGCTCATGGGCATCATAGGATGCAGGCGGGTACATCAAGCCAACCATAACTTCTTTAAAGTGTTCAGAAAGATTCTCTTTCAGGTCCGTTATCAAATCCTTGAAAAGAAATATAAGCAGGATTATTGCAGTAATCAGGAGGTATGTAGAAATCATAATCATTCCAATAATCAAAAGAAAATGAGCAATTATTTCTGTTTGGAGACCATAAGCAGTGCACTGTAGCCAAAAAGGGTGTAGTGGTGTGTGGTCACAGGGGACAAAAAGAAAGAGAGGAGTTCTCCAGGTTGAATTGTGCTTATATGTAATACAAATTTTGTCTTAAATCTGTACATACCTTGTTTCATAGTTTCATAGTTGGTAGGGTCGGAAGGGACCTGAGCAGATCATCAAGTCTGACCCCCTGCCATGGCTAGGTGATTATCTAGCTTCCTTTTGAAGACCCCCAGGGTAGGAGCGAGCACCACTTCCCTTGGAGCCTGGTTCCAGATCCTAGCCGCCCTGACTGTGAAGTAGTGCCTCCTGATATCTAGCCTGAACCTACTCTCAGTCAACTTGTGGCTGTTGTTCCTCGTTACTCTCAGTAGTGCTCGGGGGAACAGGCACTCTCCCATAGCCTGCTGGTCCCCTCTCAGCCTTCTCTTGTGGAGGCTGAACAGGTTCAGGTCCCGTAGCCTCTCCTTGTAGGGCCTGCCCTGCTGCCCCCGATCATGCGAGTGGCCCTCCTCTGGACCTTCTTGATGCTGTCCACATCCCTCCTGAAGTGCGGCACCCAGAACTGGACGCAGTACTCCAACTGGGTAGCCAGACTCCATTTCCCAGCAGCCCCTGTCCTCATGGCTTCGGCTGGTCTGCATGGAGACCCTAAGCACACCTGTGTGGGAAAGCTCAGGCTGGGGTTGCCATGGAGACCAGCCTGAGCCACGCTGGCAGCATGCATGGCAGGGGGCTGCTCTGGAGCCACTGGGAACTTGGGATTCAGGCAGCTTGCTCCAGAGCCAGGGCAGACACACAATCTGTAGCCTGCACACTCTGGGCAGGGTCGCACAGGCAGGGGATTGTGGCTCTGCCCCTGCTCCAGACAAGGCTGTCACTACTGCAAAGAGCTGGGGCAGAGCCACAATCCTCTGCCTGCGCGCCCCTGCCTGGAGAATTCAGGGTATAGATCACGGCTCTGCCTTGGTCCATCTGCAGGACTGCATCTGACTAGCTGTTTCAAACTACAACCGGAACTTCAAGACACTGGCAGATGGCATGATGTGCAGTCACAAGTGTCACACTAAGACTCGGTAAGTAGGGAAAATGTATAAGTATGTATATTAAGCACTTGATCTCAGCTTTATATAACATAAATATAAATATAAACTGGTATTTCTACATTTTCTTTGGGGTAGACCCTGGGTTGCACTTTAATTGAAAATGTGATCTTGTGCAGCTGATGTTTACAATGCTCAGACACACAAAATACTGAAGGGAAAAAATTATTTCAGAAAGGATCACATGTTTTGGGGGGAAGAGCCTCAGCTGACAGCCTTCCACTGTGGAAACTACATGCTGCTGCTTTGCGTGCTTTATATGATTTTCTTAAGGAATGCAATGTTCTTTTAAAAATAAATTATCAGTTTTTCCCAAATAGAAAAACTCAAAACATTTTGTATTTCATGTATATTGGCTTCTTTTCTTTTCTTTTTTCTTTCTTTTTTTTTTTTTGAAAGTTGTGTTGTAGATACTTGTTCAGTTGGGTTTTTGGTGGGAGTGGGGAGTGTGTTGCCCAAAAGATGAAGTGTTAAACAGGACTTTTGTAAGTGGCTGGCAAGTGAAGTTCCTGTTAGTGCTGGTGGGATTTTGTAGTACTGATTATAGATTAGGGCACCTATGGTCCTATATAGGCATCTTTTATTATTATTATTTAAATTAAAAATAATTTTACTGAGGCAAGGTATATACAATTACAATTCACAGAATTTCAGCTGGTTGGTGACCCTTCATGTTCATGAGAGATGGGTCTGAACTTGAGCTATATAAAAAGCTTATAACTCAGCATTTTCTAGAGGCATGTTCAATCTTGAATCGCAACACTAGTATCTTTGCTATTTTCAAATCAGCTTTTCAAACTTAGAATCATAGAAGCATAGAACCGGAAGGGTGGGTTAAATTAAAATGATAGAAAGGATGTTTGTTCCAATGTACCTTGTCATAAGTACTTCTTTGTGTAATGGGAAAGTAGACTTTTACTACCCAGAGAACGACCAGCGAATGGTGAAATAGTATAAATGAAATAACAACACAATTAATACAAAAGCCTCTCTCTCAGATGAATAATCAAAAGCAACCACAGGATATCTGAATATAATTAACTTAGTGGGCAGAGCAGCAATGAGGAGAGAGACATACAAATTAAAACAAGAAATTTATGGTAAAGAAACAATATGTAATCTTCACTGAATGCACAATAGATACATTTGACAGCCACTAAATCACACGTGGAATAGAAATTAATTCATTAAGACTTTTCACTGCTGACAGCACGCCTGGGGAAAAAATGGATTAATAATACAAATGGAGACTAATTAAAAATTACCCCCTGCAATCAGGACCAGGGTAAATGGAAAGAAGTAATGAAAAATAAGAAAAGACAACTGTAAGTTGTCATTATTAACATTTTCTAATTGTCTCTGCTATGTGGAATCCTTAAAGGCTAATTAAAAAGAGGAATCTCAAAGCTTGTGCATCTGTCTGAATTATAGTGCAAACTCAGAAAGTATATATTAATCAGCCAATTCAGGATTTACTTTTTCTTTTATCAGTTTTTGCTTTTAATTTGTCCCATTTTGCCTTTTTAATTCACATCAGTGCTAAAATAAATGGTTTCCCACTGCAAGGAGAGTGGCTACTACATTAAAAATGATTTGAAGAGAGAGCATAACTCTTCATATTAAGTCTATATAGTGGCCTGATTTGAACAGAGAACATTAACTCTCTGTATTAAGTCTACTGTTAAGCATGGGGGGTGGTGAAAATAATTAACTTGTGTTACTGCAAAAATGGGGTCCAGTTGCTTGATCCTTTTAAACACCAGTAACTGATTTATATTGAAAAAGGGCTAAAGCGTTTCTTTAAAAATGAAAGCTTAGAGTCCTTTTTACATTTTTAGTTAACCCATATCATGAAAGCTGCAGCCGTTGACTTGGCAGGTCCAGAAAAGCTGTCACCACTAGGTGGGAAAAGGAGGATATATTTAAACCAAACTTTCTTTAGGACTACATTCCCCAACCTTTGCCGGCTCAGAGTTGCTGAACAAATAATGGCCGTGGGCAACATCATAATATGCTTTCACTGTCAAACTTGTTTTAAACTTCCTGTAGAGGTTGCTGTCTTAGGGGAATTTTTCTTTTATGTATTGTTTACTGCAGAGTTTAAAAAGAAAATCCAAACTGTTCAATTAAGTAGACATGAGAATAATTATCCCTCAATATCATAAAATATCTCAAACCATATTACATACATTCTGTACCTGAAAACCAACTCTCATTTTTTTCTGGACATGTGATTATTGAAATATAGACCTAAGAGGTACAGCAATAGATGATCATACTTATGAATGTTTAAATGCTTTGTTGTTAAAATGATCAAACTAATTTCAGGTATAATTTCAGAGAAAAGGCAGGGAGCATTTGATGAAAACAAAGTAGAAATATTGCACAGGAATATAGACTTGCTTCTGTGGATTTCATGTACTCCTGAAATGAGGAAACTTGGTGTAGCTTAATAAAAGCTATAGTTTTTGGCAGTCTAATTTTAAATAATCAATCTCTCTCTCTTAATTTGTTGACTTATTCCAAAATATATTGGTAGTTTTAAGTTAGAGCTGCAGCAAAGTTAGTGTTATGAGTTAAAGCTTCATTCTAAACCAGTGGTTTTCAAACTTTTTTCATTTGAGGACCTCTAAAATTTTTTGAATGGAGGTACAGACCCCTTTGGAAAATTTGAACGCAGATGCAGACCCCCTTGAATTGTAAGCTTGCATATTCACATACTTTTGAATGATCATGGGCATCTTTCGCAGACCCTTTAGACACAGTCTGCAGATCCCCAGCGGTCCATGGACCGCAGGCTGAAAACCACTGTTATAGACTCCTGGCAAAGGTTTCCAACCAGCAGCCTAAGCTATAAATGGGTATTTAGCCATTCAGGCTGAGAAGTCAAAGGTGATTGGATCTAGCCACATTGATGTCTTGTGTGCCATTGGATAGACACTGGAATATCTTAAACAGATTAGCCCAAAATGCCATTTATCTTAAACAGAACATTTACCTTTTGTTTGTTTTGTAATGCTTGACAAAGGCAGATTTTTATGGCAAACTACTATAGATAGAATAAAAGGAAAAACTTGTTCAGTGGTTAACTCCTTAGCTTTTCTACAGATTTGTTTCCCATTGTTGAAGCAAAGTTTTGAATATGAATGCTGCCAATGCTGGAACTTAGTTTGGCTGTGAGTGGAAAATTCCATACAGAATCAGAGCTGCCCTGTCTATAACCTTTAGAGCTGTCAATCAGCCATGACCCAGTTTCTAGCTTGCACATGCTCAGTAGGTGGAAAGTCTCTGGCTAGACGCAGACTCAGAAGAGACTGCTCTGACATAAGGGGACTAGAACTTTCTGGCCTAGGAGCAAGCTAATTGGCTATGGTTTCCCTATAAAAGTTCATGAGCACCCACCTGGGTGTGGGTGTGTGGTGGTGAGTTGGGTGGAGATGGTTTTGGAGTAGTGGGTGTTGAAGAGTTGGTCCTACGGGACAATTGTTTAGTGAGTTTAGAGGAGATTGCTGTACTGAGGGAGAGAGAAAGCTTCCTAATTTCTATAGAAGGCTTCTCCTTTATTGTTGATTCTGTTAACTTTATGTTGATCTTCGGTAATTGCTGAGATGACGGCCAGGACTCATCTCTACGATCAGCCCAACTCTCCAGCTACCGGACTTCTCATTTGCAGCTTGAATTGGCGTCACGAAGGACATTGGGCAGTTCACCTGTTACAATTTGTCTGTCTATGTTCCAATATATGAGCTGTTGACCAGCCCTAGGACTAACCAACAGGCAGCC